AAAAAAAACAAACCACTAGATGCACCAAACCTGCACAGGCACCAAAAAAAACTAAAAATTCCAGGAACTATGGGTCCACTTCTGAGTAGTTGCTTGATTTTTTGTTTTTTTTTTGTTTTTTTTGGTGCCTGTCGATGTTTGGTGCATCTAGGTTTGGTTTTTTTGTTTTTTTTGGTGCCTGTCAATGTTTTGTGAAGTCAGAGTCACCAAACCTGCACAGGCACCAAAAAAACCAAAAAAAACAAACCACTAGATGCACCAAACCTGCACAGGCACCAAAAAAAACAAAAAAACTAAAATTTCCAGGAACTATGGGTCCACTTCTGAGTAGTTGCTGGAATTTTTGTTTTTTTTTGTTTTTTTTGGTGCCTGTCGATGTTTGGTGCATCTAGTGGTTTGGTTTTTTTGGTTTTTTTGGTGCCTGTCAATGTTTTTGTGAAGTCAGAGTCACCAAACCTGCACAGGCACCAAAAAAAACAAAAAAAAACAAACCACTAGATGCACCAAACCTGCACAGGCACCAAAAAAACCAAAAAAACTAAAATTTCCAGGAACTATGGGTCCACTTCTGAGTAGTTGCTGGAATTTTTGTTTTTTTTGGTTTTTTTGGTGCCTGTCGATGTTTGGTGCATCTAGTGGTTTGTTTTTTTTGGTTTTTTTGGTGCCTGTCAATGTTTTTGTATATCTCATGTCAAGATCATGATGAAAAAATGTATTTTACTAGGGTTTTAGACCCTCCAAATGCATAAAACATCGGTATTTACAGTGTTTTATCATCATTTTTAATGAAAATTCACTCCCCCACGGGGTGCCGCCCTCAAAAAAAAAGGGCAGGTAAGTCTGGCTTTCGATGAGATTCATTTCCAACATCGTTCCTGCACTTCAGCCGTCTGTCGGGTGTTGGGTCCTTTTCTGAAGCAAAGAACCAACATGAATCAACCCTGGGAAAAATTGTGAATGTCTGATGAATCGGAAGCCAATTTCTGCCAGTTGCCATCTGCTAGGCTTCCATGGTCATGCTGACGGCAAGTTCGCTATCTTTATTAAATATATCTTGAGAGGCTCTCAACGCTCTCAGAAGGAGAGGCTGGACACTTCAGCGTCCGCATATTGTCATGATGTACATATCATGATGTCCTACCTCATCAAAACAAGGTAAGACAATGTTACAATGAGATGCAATGAGACTGCTCAGAGCTGCTCAGTACTCAGTACTAGTAGCTGCTCAGGGGTGGTCGTCTCCCTCCTCTCCCTCCTCTCAATCCTCTCCCTGCTCTCCCTGCTCTCCCTGCATTCGGCCCTTGGAGAAATCCGTTGAGGGAGGCGTTGAGTCCCGATCTTCACCGACTTCGATATCTTCGACATCCTCGACATCTTCGACATCCTCGACATCTTCGACATCCTCGGCATCTTCGACATCCTCGACATCCTCGACATCTACATCCTCAACGATCTGGCGAGGGTGAGCTGGGCGAGCCAGTGGCGCACCGCCACGAAGCCCACGAAGCCCAAGGAGCGCACCAAGCGGCTCAAGATCATCCCGAAAGCGCCGCAGCAGCGAAGCTTTTGGAGGCTCCAACCCCAACGCACTGATGGTCATTTGCATCTTTGCATCCATGACGAATCTAGGAAGTCTCAGGAAATCTGGGCAACACAAAATGAATCCGCGTTGACTTGTTTGGGCATGAAAAAGGCTGCGTTGTGAAAACGTGTGAAAACGGCAAACTCTTCTCACACCCCGCTGATCTACTGAAAAGCAATGAACACCAAAATCAAAATGTTCTGTCTACAGGATTTGCCAAATATTCTCGGAGTCAGTTTGTCGTTTCGCAAATCATCACCGACTAGCCATTGGAACATTCACCTTGCCCAGTCACTTGCAGATCTTCTCGCCGTTGGGAAGCTGTGCCTAGCCATGGATTGAATAGATCAGTGATGGGATGCTATGATACTATATCAATGATATGTATATATATATATTAATATATTAATATATTAATATATTAATATATATATAATACCCTCTGGTAAATGTTCACATAACATATAACTATTGAAAATCACCATTTGAAATGGGTAAATCAACTATTTCTATGGCCATTTTCAGTAAGTATGTAACAAATTACCAGAGGGTATAGTTAATGTTTAGTTGGCTTTTTTTGGGAATGGCATGCTATTGGCATATCAGCAATCAACGAGAGGTACAACCGACTAACATGTGGATATTCGCAGGGATTTGTCTGAGAGTAGGGGCCCTATACCCAACCTGGCTATCTTAGTAGCTGGCAATTGTGAATGTGCATCCTGGGCGAATATGGTACACCAGGTTTTGACCCACGTAATTTCTGTTTAGCTCAAAATGATTGACCCCAATCATTAAATGGCTTAGTAGTAAACATATGCCAATTTTGGGGCATATGCAATATGTTGTTCTCCAATATTTTAGGTCTGAGCATGGGGTAACCTTAAATGCGATGGTGTATCATTGTCCCTAATTATTGACACTGCTATTGAAGGTATACCCAATTCTCGGACAGACCCCAACTTGATCTTTGATTAGTTGGATATCAATCTCACGGCAGACTTCCCAGCCATCACCTTCTCCGTTGCAGGTGTGTTGAGTTCTTAAGCCTCAAAAGTAGAAAATACATGTCACTAGTCGCTTACATTCCATGATTCTGACCCCATGCTAATCCTGAATTAAGCGACAGTAGGATTTGTAGGATCAGGTCCTAGAGATATGTAATTCAGTAATGGACTAGTAAGTAGGATATGTCAGATTACATGTCCTGAATACATAATGATTTTACATTAGTCACTAGTAGGATCTCTCCTGAATTACTGATCCTAACCCCATGCTGCTGTGTTTGTGCAGGTTTGACATGTGGCATCCGCGGCAGTATCCCCATCATGAGATCAAACATCAAACGTGGCGATTAGATGGAAACTTATACCCTCTGGTAAATAAACACAGACCCTGAAAATCACCAATTTTTAATGGAAACTAGTCTTCCAACCCCTATTTGCCAGGGTCTATGTCAATTTACCAGAGGGTAATGGCTATTTCATGGGCATTTGGAGATAGCCAAGCCGTCTCAACGTTAGTGCCACCAGTCCCATCTTGCGGCGCCTGAAAGACGGGGGCAAAGAAGCCTGGCTCTTCCTGGAACGGAAATGACCGTTTTTGTTTTTTGGACCGTAAGAAAAGTTGGTCGAAAAGCAGGATTTTATGATATTCATATGGGATTTTAGTGGGTTTGCCATAGGGATTTCATCCCTTACTAGCCATCTAGCCATCTTAGCTCAGCTTCAGGGATCACCCTGTTTTCACTGAGGCAGGAGTGGCTGAAATGGTCGCTGAACAACCAAACCAGGAACTTGATGTTCAATACAATCTTGGTATTGGAGGGATAATTACTCCGAGATACTACTTGGTGATACATAGTGATAAATATATAGTCTTATTATATAGTATAGTCTTATTATATAGTGCTATAGTATTGTCCATAATGTCTATATTAATGCAAGGTGTTCAACATGTATCCCCTTTATAGTTTCTATAGAATTATCATTCATGTCATGATTATATATGCCATAGTGTATCCCTTTTATATTCAGAATGTCTATATATTCCATACTTTCTGGCAGTTTTGCCGGAAAAGATGCCCCCAGACGCCCGAAAACCGACGACGTGCGTGTTGGGCCTTGTATTTGGGGCATGAGCGGTGCACCTGGCGGCGGATCAAGTGACGCAAATGCCAAGCTGTGGCATGTCGAGTTTCCATTGACTTGGAGAACTATTGGCTTTATGTGGGTTATAAATGGTTGAAAATTTGGTTGTAAATGGTGTTTTAACTGGTTCTAAATGGTTATCAATGGTTATAAATGGGTGTTATGTGTTTTTTTTAATAAATGGTTATGAAATGTTATAACTAAAATAGATATGAGGAATGTTAATAGGGTGTCTAGACCAACTTATCAACGGGTTCCACCTTGGATGACTTTGAAAAATAACATAGATATCCTCGGTGTCAGAATCTGTCACATTTAAATCTGTTTGGTGGTATACCTACTCCTCTGAAAAATATGAGTTCGTCAGTTGGGATGATGAATTTCCCAATCTATGGAAAAATAAAACATGTTCCAAACCACCAACCAGAAATAATCAGATTATTGAATGGAACTTTTATAGACATACTGTGGATGGTCGCGAAATCCTGCAGCACCTTTAATGGTTGAAACATGTTGAAACCCCAACAGCATAATGGGATGGACAAACCACCTATCAACTGGTGATTCGGATTTCGCAACGGCCCATCCACCGCATGAACGCTGTTGGTACCTCTGTAGTATCTCCATGGAGCTGAACATTGGAATTAGCATCTGGTTATGACTAACATAGCCATGGAAAATCCCCAGAAAAAATGGAGGTATTAATAGGAAAATCATCTATTTCTATGGGCCATCTATACCATGGCTATCTTAAATAACCAGAGGATAAAAAAAAACAAAAACACATATGATGTGTCTTTGTCCATGACCCCAGTTGATTACATGATGATCACACCAGTCGTAGAGACAAAGAAGGAATCAAAAGTTCTCCTTATGGGTTTTTCAGGGGTGATTAGCCACCAAGATTGCCATTTCAACATGGGTCATTAAATGTCCCCATTGAACATCACCCAACCATTAGGTATATGGTCTATAATGGCTACTATAAGGTGATGTCCAATATTCCCAAAATGGGACATTTACCAATCCCTCTTCAATAAGACAAAAGATTAGATATTTCACAAGTGGACGGAATGAGGTTTGCCCTAGGTTTCCAGGTACCCAACCCATATCTTCGCACACTTGGAAGACCACCGGTTGCCACATTCCGATGGATCAACACAAATTATAATGATTATCCCTGCTTAATTTGATCATAAAGTAACTCACATGAAACCAATGATCCCATATTTTGATCATAAATTAACCCAACATGTTTTAGGTACTTTTTAAGGGATGTTAAAGCATTGTGCAATCCCAAGATCGTTGCTGACATCCCTAGCTCTGGCATCCATGGCCTTGCGAACCACCTTCATGGAGGCTGGCACCGTGGGGAAGAACGAGGAATAGCTGCGCACCCAATGCCTGCGCTGCAAAAAACGGCAACGGCATGAAACTCCGCTGGTCAGAAATCATGGGAAGATGGGAATATCATGGGAATAACTCACATAACCCATAGGATCCATGTATGGTATATATGCTAACATTGGGGGTATATTGATGGTAAATGTCATCATATATAGCATACATGGATACTATGGGTAATAACCAACACTAGTGGGAATATATCATGAAAATCAACCAACAATAGTGGGAATGTAATATGAGAAACAGAATCGGGAATGTAACGGGACCATTTTTTTCGTAACCAAGAATCATGGGAATGAAATGGCGACTATGGGACTACCATGCGGCTACCGCTGGTGTCATCATGGCTGGAACATCCAAATTCCTCCATTGAGTTCGTTCTGGTTATGACTAACAGTTTGCCATGGAAAATCAACCCATTTCTAATAGGTAAACCATCTATTTCTATGGGCCATCTATACCATGGCTATGTTAGTCATAACCAGAGGGTAGTTCGGCTAGTTTCAATTGCTGTGTTTGATTACCGGAGGGTACTCGTTTGCACTCATTGTCTTGGATCTCTGGTTGTCTAATGGTATTGAAAAAGGATGAACAGCTGGTTTTCGGAGAAGTTACCCTCTGGTAAACATACAAAAAGCTATTGAAAATGGCCATTTATAGTGGATTTACCCATTAAACATGGTGATGTTCCATAGTTATGTTAGTTTACCAGAGGGTACTGGTATATGTGCCTTATTTACTGAAACACATACATGTGAATCATCAGCAAGCCTTTGGTACTGTAAGCCAATATGAAAAAGCGTAGAACCCTTTGCTACAGCCAACGTAATGGAACAGGGTGAACAAATGAGCCTGTATCACAATCCCATATGCTCCATGGTGTTGATATTTTCGTTTTACATAAATCGGACATGTTCCTGAGGAATCTTTGGCAAATGTTCGGTAGAATTCGAGATCAATGATGGGCAATCTGATAAAAAAAGAGACCAATGATGATCAGCTAACAATCTATTGGGTAACTATTGATGTATTTATGTGGGTGTCTCCTAAAAATTTGGGTATCCCACCAAATATCCAAAATCATCCAACAAATAAATCACACAAAATGGAATTGAAAGCCACTAGTTAGGCTACCTCAATCATCCAATTCCCAATGTTACATTCTACGAGATTCCGCAACCCAAGTCATGAATAGCTCCAATACAAAACCACGATATCAGGATATTTTATATGTGATATCCCCATTGTATTCCCTGTTACCCTCTGGTAAACTAACGTAACTATGGAAAATCCACCCATGTTTAATGGGTAAATCCATGTAAATCCACTATCAATGGCCATTTTCAATAGCTATTTTGACATAACCAGAGGGTATATGCCATTTCACTTAGCAGGAAGGGAGAAAAAACCCGTTGCTGCCAGGGTGCGACGTGAGCTGCATGGCACGTTCCTCAGCAGTTTGAGATTGAAATCATCCAATGGCTTCATGGGATTGGGAGTCCCACATGAGATATATCTATATATGTATATATATATATATGTATATATATACATATATATATGTATATGTATATATATAAGTATATATACATATATAGATATATATATATATATATATAAGTATATATATATATATTGGTTGGTGATAGCTATTGAAAATGGCTATTTATAGTTGATTTACCCATTGAACATGGTGATTTTCCATATGTTATCTGGTTGGTGGTGCAATTTCACCATCTTGAAAAATGATGGAGCTCGTCAATGGGAAGGATTACATCCCATATATGATGGAAAGTCATAAAATTCATGTTCCAGTCACCACCAACCGGACATTGTTATGATATCCTGAGAAATTGCAGGGCTAGACATGGAAAATAAGAAACAATCAGAAATTTGGGCTAGACATCGAATCAACCATCTATTGCCGGACTACATCCAGAGACATCATCCAGTTGAAGATCCTGCCTGAGTTGCAGGACTACCGAGAAGTGGTCCAGTCCAAGTAAGATTTCCTGCTCACATCAAGTCATGCTACAGAAAATGCATGCCAATCATCCTATCTTCAAAGTTAAATGGTTTTTATCGATGTCTTCAAAGCGAACTCCCAACGAAAATCATGAACTATAGGAGGTAGAGTCTTGCAAACTTTAGAACACAGCCACATGGAGGTTTCCTAAAATTGGAGTTTCCATGAAATAAACCCTCCAACTATTGGGGTACCCCCATGACTACGGAAACCTCCTCACATGACTTTTATCGCCTCTCCATTTTGCACGTCGTGCATCGCCTGAACCACTGGGAGACCCCAACGGTGCTGTGCCGGTCTGACCTGTGACGGGAACGCAACATCCACAACATCTGGTGACCGAGACATTTACCAATTGCAAGCGTAAACACTCATAACTTCATGAAGAAGATATGCAAACAATAATCCATTTATTTGATCATACGTAATGATCCACCATTTTAGGCTGATTATACTTATAATATCTTATAATCATGGAAACAACAACTTAAGTTGATTTCTCCAGCACTTGGTATACTCCTATCATTCCAAGTAATCATCCTTATTATCCTATACTTTAATCCTGGACAATTTAGGATGATTATTATAAGCAAAGTTCCATTGCAGTGGCTTGAGAAACCAGGTCACCTCATCGTAGATTTTTCAACCACCATGGCTCTTCCAGCTTGGAGAAATGAAACGACCCCCTACTTCACCACCATTTGGAGGTGTCCATAGTTATGGGGGTACCCCAAGCTCGCTGGATGGTTGATTTCCATGGGAAAATCCAACACAAAAATGGATGATTGGGGGTACCCCATGACTTAGGACCCAAGCTTAATTTAAGTGACATGGAACATTTCTCAACAACAACAGGACGTACCACACAGGGGACCCTCCGCACCTACGGGTAGGAACCTTGTCGTTGTTGTTGGACTGCCTCAGGCTCTGCTGATGAGGATGGCTCCAGCACTTCTTGCTACCCTAAAAATAGAGCAGAAACACATGTCAACCACCATTAACCATCATTAATTCACCATCATTAACCATCCAAGTTTATTAACGATCACTAACCATCATAAACCATCACTAAAGGGTAATGCGGTAATGCGTATTATTTAACACCCAGTAACAATCTAAGTTCAAACATCATGAACGGGTCATGCTTAGTATTTAACCATGAGTAACCATCCTCCAAATTTATTAACAATCATTAGCCATCATCAACTTGTCAAGCTCATTATTCAACGATCATTAAGCATCCAAGTTGGATACGGACCAACAATGGTCATGTTGAGTGCGTGTTCACCATACAAATTTGAGTTCATTTAGTGATGCATCATCAGATAATGAACATCTGGAAGCCAGTTGGTCACCCTTGAATGTCAGGCTGTTTTGCCATACATTGAGCCGACATCCAGCTGGATAGTTAAGTCTGACTGAGGAAATTCCCAAGACTTCACGTAATATATAAAGTATGTATATATATATATACATACATGTTGCACATTATGCGTATACAAGATCATCAAAGAACGTGTTTTTAACATATCTATAAGTCTGTAAGCATCTATAAGAAAGTGCACTATTTCCCTCAGTGAACGAGCAATAACTCCCTGGAAACAGTCGCGACTCAAAACTACCTGCACATGAATGTACATGCTCAAGCAAAACATGACAACATGTGTTGTCCTCTATGTTTGAGCCGTGTCACATATGAGTTCGTCAATTGGGATGATGACATTCCCATATATTATGCACAAATAAATTTCCTGTTCCAAACCACCCACCAGATTATATCATTACCCAACCATATATAATCATATAATATCACATATCTATTAATATACCGATACCCGTCAATGGAGCATATGGGTAATACTATCTGTGTCTGTACCCCTTCAATTTCAACATGACTCTCTGTTTTCGGTGATTTTCACCAGCCCCCAGACTCACCCAGCTCTGAGTGTCACGGACCCCCTGGGCGCGGCATTTCGCACCATTTTCAAATGATGGTTTGGGGCAGGGTAAGTGGTTAAAGTTGTAGAAGATGGTGCCCTCAAGCCCTCAAACATTAGCTAAGTAATGCTAAGTATAACAATTTCTTCACTAACTGGGGTTTATGATAGATAGGGAACTATATAGTAAATGGGGATTATAAACCAACTTATAACTTGGCGGCACCAGCTTGTAGTCAAGTTACATGGGAATATTTCAGGGGTTGTGGTCATCCCAAAGGAGGTATGTTAATTCCCCTCCGAAAAAGGCATAAAATCCAACTTTTGACCATGGCACATATGCTGATTTGATCACTTGATGGGGATACGTGGATTTGTCCATGAAAAAACGGCCCCCGTGCCATCTTGATTTTTGAAGAAATATAGAGTACATACCATGGGAGTTTGGCGTACCATGGGTACCTGATCTGTTTAAATATGATTAGCAATCGGATATATATATACCAGGATACATACTGGTTGGGGGTTTCAACCCCTTCTGAAAAATATGAAAGTCAGTTGGGATGATGAAATTCCCAATATATGGAAAGTCATAAAACATGTTCCAAACCACCAACCACCCCACTAGATGTTTGATCAGTCATTTTTTCCATCAAAAAAACTTCAAACAAACACTTTTTCGGAGAGATTTTCCCATGCACATCTGAATGAATTTGACGGCTGGAGGGCCCCAAGTCATTGCAAAACATTTGGATTAATTTTCAGGAAATGGGTTTGAATGGGAAGGGCGAAGTGATTGATTAACTCTGGGTTGGATTGCGTTTTCTTGCAAATAGGTTTTAGGAAAAAAACGTAGAAATGGATGGGCTCTGGGATTGACAACCGTTTTCTTTCTTTTTGTAAGCATGAATCTGAAAACCGCAAAACCCAAAATTGAATGGCGAATTCCAGGTTTGGCTGCATAGAAAATGTGAATGCTGAACACCCCAAGTCATTGTTTGTTTTTGGTCGCATTTTTTTGGCATAAATGTCATGGATGGAGAGCCCCAGGTGATTTTTTGTGTTGGTTTTCTGATATCGAAGGCTGGACGCCCTTTAGTGATTGATCAAGTCTGGGCTGGATTGCTCCGTTTAGTTTTTGCAAAAAAAAAATGAATACAACCAATCCTCACCAGGATTTTTTTTTGCCGACCATTGCTTTTTGACAAATGAAAGGCCATCCAGTCTTGACAGTTTGTTTTTACAAAACTACTGCTGCCCGAACTGATTTCAAAAAAGGCCCTTTCAAACCCTTGGATTGCACATAATTCAAGAAAGAAATCAGCCCAGAGCTGGGACCTCCATCTCAAGTTTTTTTAAGTTGAAAGAAAGTGGATGGCAGCAAAACAAAACGACAAACAAACAAAAACACATGTAGACCCATACACACGCATGAACAACCATGAACGTCCATGGACACCCATGAGCACTTGAGCGCGCATGAGCACCCATGAACTCACATGAATTCGAGTTTTTCCAATACAATGCAGCTGGCAAATTGTTTGTTGAATCATATGTTTCACTGTTTTTGAGTTTCTTATTTTGGGTTGTTGGATATGTGAGTTCTTGATTTAATTGTTCTTTTCCTGAACTGAACATTAATTTCATTTTTTTGTTTTGTCCTTCGGTGGCCCCGCGCCCCGAAAAATATATTTGCTGATTTTTGCAAAACATGTATTTTATTTGTATATATATATAGTTTTTTGTTTATTTTATCGTTTTATTTATTCAATTGTTCTTTTTATATATGTATGTAGTATGTGTATATATGTATATGCGTGTACATAAATAAATAAATAAATATATATATATATATGCATTTATGTGTATATGTATATATACATGTATATTTATATATATATATATCTATTTATGTGTAAATTTATGTTTTTTGTTTTTAATATATATATATATATAAAAGTGTGTGTGTGTGGGGGGGGGGTCTCAAAATGAGGTGTCCTGTTTTCCTCTCAGAGAACCCTTTTTGGAACCAAAAAGAGACACCTCGCTTTGAGACATATCCATGTATATACAATATATTTATTTGTTGACATGTGCTTTTTGATTCTATCCTGTGTTGGTTTGCCCCATCCAATGTGTGTATATATATATGTTTTCTTTGTGTTCTTTTGTATGTAGTTTTTCAACATCATGTTATCGGAAACGGAAACAATGTATCAAAAATGTTTCATTGGAGATTGCAATATAGATAGATATTATATATATAAATAACGAAAACAAAGTTTCCCCAAAAAAGGGTACTAAAACAGGTTATTCATATAAATAACCGCCTATAAGAAAAAATGTTTTTCGTATAAATAACCTGAAGAAAACATTATTTGATCATTCTGACTATGAAGTAAAACAGTTGTTTTACCTAATAGGTAAAAACACAATTTAACTAATATTCAGAAAACAAGATATAACCATTTAGCCTAACCAGAGCTTTTGGGGGGGAAGTTGCAAGGGGAGTTGCACATTGTACGTTGTGATGAATTCGGTGAAACATGGGAATGGGGTGCATGGGGTGAAACAGGGGAGTTGCAGATTGTAGGTTCTGATGATGAACCATGGGGTGGATGGGGTGCATGGGGTGAAACATGGGGGTGTGATAGTAGTTCTAGAATTCGGTTCAATTGTTGTTGTAGTTGTTGTCGTTGTTCTAGTAGACGGTTTAGTTGTTGTTGTTGTAGTAGTAGTTGTTGTAGTGGCAGTGGGTGTTGGGGGTGTTGGGGGTGTGTGGTTGGGGGTTGTAGTGGGTGTTGGGGGTGTTGTAGTGGGTGTTGTAGTGGCAGTGGGTTTGGGGGTAGTGGCAGTGGGTGTTGGGGGTGTTGGGGGTGTGGTGTTGGGGGTGTTGGGGGTGTTGGGGGTGTTGGGGGTGTTGGGGGTGTTGGGGGTGTTGGGGGTGTTGGGGGTGTGTGGTTGGGGGTTGTAGTGGGAGAGGCTGGGGGTGAAACTGGTGAAACAGGGCGCCGCCATACCTTCTTGTTTGGCTGTACTCAGCGGGCGCGCTTCTGTCTGGTCCGCCTCCTCGCAAGTTGACGAGGAGCGGCAGGGCGCTGTCACTTTTCAGCTCCTTCTGGAATATACAGGGATATGATCAGCTTCACGTGCTATAGGAGGCTTCGTCTGAAGTTTGGACTATCGATCCATGGATGTTCATCATGTTATCAAAATGGCCACCGTTGCCATGGAGTGATGGCCAGTTTCCAAACTTCTGCAAAGAAACCATGGTGATACCATGGAACGTCAAATAAGAATGGTTCATAGTGGTAAGCAATGGTTAATCATGTTGATTAATGGTTGATCAAGTGATTCATGGTTGATTCATGGTTGATTAAATGATTAATGGTTGATTCATGGTTGATTTTTCATCCGGTAATCACCTAAAAAAATCACGGAACATCGTCTCAACGTGGAGGTGTTTTAGTGGGGCTTAACATCATCTGTGGGGGATTTTCCAGCCACGTTTGACGATGCGTCAGTAATGAGTATGACTAGTGGAGATCAATGGGATATGACGCAAGTGTCCGAAGAGAAACATCCATATATTCATATAGTTTCCATATATGTTCCATATATGTTCCATAGATATAGACTAATAATGGTGAATAATGGTGATTAATGGTGGTTAATGATAGTAAATGATGATTAATTATCTGGATGGTGGTAAAACAACCCCTCTGAAAAATGATGGAGTTCGTAAGTTGGGATGATGAAATTCCCAATATGATGGGAAAGTCATAAAATTCAGGTTCCAAACCACCAACCACCCCACTAGATGTATATATGTTGATTATCCAAAATGGTGGATTGACCTTGGGAAAAGAACCAACCAACCCCCTGTCGGCTAACGGCTGAGAAATCACATCATTTTGGCCAATGGACTGAGTTGCCCACAAAAAACTATATGTTTGCTGATGACAATCCAGGCTAGCAAATGATTTTCATACCCAACTTTTGTTTGAGGGCAATGATCTTGACACTATTGACACTTTTGCACTTTGTGATTTATTGCCCATAGTGGTTCCACAACACATCAATTTTTTTTGAAAAAAAATGTGAGAAAACGAGGGCTTTTTTGAACACAACAACTGGTGGTTTCTTCCGATCCCCTCCTCGAATCGAGGTCACTGGGTTCCCTGACAAGATGGCATCGCGAATGCTGTAGGTTTGCTGCAGCTTGTTGAGATTTCGGATGTGTTTCTGGATGGTCTGCGCAGCGGGTGACTGGTGTGACTGGGAGCGGCTGGATATGGTTTTTTTCAGCCCCAGAGACTTTGGTTGCACATTTTTGTTTTAAAAAAAGTCCTACTGAACCATGGGTTATGGGAGGTGTTGAATATTAGGGAAAAGGATTTAAAGGGGAATGATGATGAACATGATGGTGATGGTGATGATGATGATGATGATGATGATGATGATGCTGATAAAGATGAGGATGATGATATGTTGGGACCCATCATTCGGAACCAAACCATCGGGAGCATAACGCCTTATACCCACTTTTTAAAGGACCTACCCTCGGTTCCGTCAAGGACTCCTCTCTCTAATAGCTTGCGAAGCCTGCCAGTTCAATGCCCCACCGTTCGGAATTGAATTTCACAAAGCATCGATATTTTTTTGCGGGGTTCCATGAAAACCAAACAAATGTTTTTAATCATGATTTGTCTTAAGCTAGCTATGCTATTAAAAACAAAAAACAACTTAGCCAATAAGCTAGGATTATTAACACTGACTATAATCTCAGCCTATTATATAATTATCCTGAACACGCCTGAATCACTATTGATCCGAAACGCATACAGCAAAGAGAAGTACCCTACCGGTTCTGTCAGACGTGGCTTGTTGGACAATCTCCCGTTTTTAGATGGCTCTCCCAGCTATAGACATCCTTTTAATTTGATATTTTCCCAGCCATAACCCATAGGATCCATGGTGCTGGTATATATGCTAACATGACTGGGGTATATTGATGGGATCCATGTTACCATATATAGCAGCACCATGGATCCTATGGGTCCGGGTAATTGAACACCAGAGGACATATTGATTTATCAAATGGCTCTCAGGATGATAAAATGGTAGCCCGGCTAGTGATTATCTCGTGATTTATCTAATTTCAATGGATTTTTACTTGTCTATCATCTTTGCACATTCCTATAAACATCAAAACAACCACTATCAAAAACACATAAAAACACTACATAAATCATGTTCATCAACCACTCGCCAGCATCAACCATGAATCACCACCAACCATGAATGGTCCCATTCCGGCGCGCCTCCAGGATGCTCAGGACCTTCCGCGCCACCAAGTTGCAGTGGAAGATGCACCACACCTGGATCCCGATCCCATGGGAACACCGTGGTGGAGACCTTGGAAGACCTTGGAAGACCTTGGAACATGGGGATCTGAGATGAGAACTGAGCAGGGAAAAATATATGGAAAAATGAGGTGATGGGAAAAACATCTGGATCATGAAAACATGTTTTTTTTTTTACATGCCGATGAAAAGTTCGGTACTTTGGGAGAGTTACCCCCTTCCATGAGATGACAGGCGTTGATTCCCCAACATGATGAGGATAGAACCAGAGAAAAACGGTATTCTTGAAATACCGTTTGGTTATTCAACGTAGCGAACTGGAACATCACCATTTTGTTGATAGGTAAATCATTAAATCATATAATGTTTATCCTCTATTTCTATGGACCATTTTCATCCATTTTCCATGGTTCTATGGACCATTTTCCATGGCTAAAACATGCCAGAGGCTATGACCAACTGACGACATTCGAGTGCTGGAAGAGCACCAACTGCGAGATCTTCATCCATGACATGCGAGATGTTCATCAGTGGCACCCGAGTTTGTCATCTTTGGGCTTTACTTGGTGGATCACCCCACGAATCGTAAGTGGGTTATAACTTATAACCCCAGTTATAAATGGGATAAGTAGAGTTATTCCACTTATAACTGGGGTTATAATCCACTTACTAAGTGGGATGAGCCACCAAGTACCCGGCCTGGTAAACGTTAACAGTTTGCGAACTGGAAAATCCACCCATCTTTAAGTTCGGTAAATCAACTATTTCTATGGGCCATGTTCAATAGCTATGTAACAAATTACCAGAGGGTATCATAGGGTGCCCCAAGATGCAACAGTTTATCATCACGTTCCCGGTTTCTGACAAACCCATCGAATCATATTGGTGGTTTCCGAAGTCATGGGGGTACCCCTAGTGATCATCCGTTTTCGATTGGGATTTTCCCATGGAAATCAACCATCCAGCGAGCGACCAGGGTCCCAGGGTACCCCCATGACTATGGAAACCTTCATATATTCATATAATAGTTTCCATCTATTTTCCATAGATGTCTCCCAAAAAAGTTCCATAAACCATAGATATCCCACATATTTTTCTGGTTGGTGGTGGTGTTGCATCCCATTACGAGCCTCGGCCTCCCGTTCTCACCGACAGGTGCCTTATACTGGGGCGCAATGTCTCGATAGCCGATGACGCGGTACGACTCCCTGCGGAGGAAGATGTCGTATCAACAGGTACTATTTCAGTCTCTGGAAGAACTACCCTCTGGCTATTTAACATAGCCCTGGGAAATGGCCCATTTATAGAGGTTTACCGCGGTTTACCTATTAGAAATGGTGATTTTCCATGGCTATGTGGCTATGTTAAATAACCAGATGGTATAAAAAAAAATACATCAGTTGCCAAATTTGACATGGACATGTGATATTCAAATTACCAGGAAACTATCAGCATTTCAAACGTTCGTCGGTCAGTTTTTGTTCAACTTCTTTCAGACACATCCATATTACATTCCCCTTTATTAGAAAAAAAAACTGAAATCCCAATGTACCGTTGGTTAGATCCCTTGTTCTTGATTACCATCTGGTTATGACTAACAGTTCGCCATGGAAAGATCCACCCATGCTATTAAGAACGGTATATAAACCATCTATTTCGATTAGGGCCATGGCTTAATCCCATGGCGAACTGTAACAGTCATAACCAGAGGGTATATCCAATTATCATCCCATTCTTCACCATTGTTAACCCATTGTTAAACCATGAGAAATCACCATTTATAGTGGTTAAATAACCATTTTCCAACAAAGTGGTACCCAGCAAAGCCATGTCGGCTTGTCCCACAACTGGATCTACGAAGGATCACCCCGGTGGATGCCACTGGTTGCTTGCCTTAGTTGGGGATACCCTCTGGTAATTTGTTACATAGACTATAAATGGTGATTTTTCATGGTTTAACAATGGGTTAACAATTGTGATTTTCAACAATGGTGATTTGTCAAAATACTATAAATGGTGATTTTTCATGGTTTAACAATGGGTTAACAATGGTGAAGAATGGGATGAGAATGGGATATACCCGGCCTGGTAAATGTTTACATAACGACCTGGAAATTCCACCCATGTGTCAGAAGTGAAAATTCACTATTTCGACTGGGACATGTTCAATAGCTTTGTGTATGACCAGAGGGTCAAATTTCATAAGTCAGATAAGCCAGTTCTCCATGGTCACTAAGACTTTATAAGTTAACCCAGCTATCCATGGTTATCACCCAGAACTGGTTAGTAAGCCCATTGGTCACTGGCTTTCAGTGGAATCCCCATGGATAAGCCACTTTTTTCGCCTCAAAAATGGCAGCCACAGCTGCAATGACAACGAATCCACGGCGGCCAGTTGGCCCTTTTTGCTTTGCCTCGGCGAGGCCGCGAATGGCCACGATCTCGGCAATCTTCGATTTGAAAGAGTCGTGTGCAGAAATATGTGCATCAACTGGATGAAGAAATCTATGATTATCTATATGTGCATCAACTAGAAGTTATAATCTATATGTATATCTTCTAGATGATTATGTCATTGGATGTGTATACCAGGGGAAATGTGTATATCAAGGGATGTTATATATGTATATATATATAGTGTATACATGATGTTGACAAAATGGGTCGAAATTAATGAGGTCAAGATTCCTGCACAATGCATTGGTATATAGTCATTCTTTTTGGTTGCATTTAAATTCCGGGTCAACAGTTGAAAAATTGATGTGTGTTTCTGAAAATGGGGCATAACTGCATAACTTCAAACTGTCCCATTGTACGGATGTGATGGTAGACAAAATGACGATAGAGGTGAATTTGGTGAACCCCCTAAGACATGACAAAACGAGACTCTGTTTCTAGCCTTAGAGCCACCAAGGAATGTGGAATTCATCAAGAGGAATGAAATAAAATGTCAAAACTCCTATAGGCTTCGCTAATCAAAGATGGCAATGGATTTTCACCCAATTGCAAATGATTTGTTCATTTAGGTGCCCATTGATAGGTGCCAGCCATGTTTGATTACCGCAGGGTAAAAGACAAGAACTCCTGCATGATCTGCGTCCCGAATGCAGTGTCAAAAGCCTGAGGTTTCTAAGCAGCAAAAGAACAGACCTGTCACCCTCCACGAAAAAACACTCAACAGCTAAAAATTGTATACGCTGCCAAGTTTGACAATTGAAGAATGTACAATTTACTGTATAACAATGTATTACCATCTGGTTATGACTAACAGTTTGCCATGGAAAATCCACCCATTCTTAAGAACGGTAAACCATCTATTTCGATTAGGGCCATCGAAATCCCATGGCTATGTTAGTCATAACCAGAGGGTATATCATGTGTTATTTTAATGTTCAATCCGCATCTCTAATCTGCTAATCTGGTTGGTGGTTGGTATCGCCACCCCTCTAAAAATGATGGACAACTTGTCAGTTGGGATGATGACATTCCATTCCCAACTGTTTCTGGAAAGTCATAATCCAGTCATGTTCCAGTCACCATTTACCGCATGTTTTTGAATATCATTCCCAACTGAATGGCAAAATAAAGAATGTTCTAAACCACCAACCAGTAATTATCCCTGGATGGCTTGGCCCGGTGAAATCCGTCGCCAAGGGACTCGCGCAAGAGTCCCATGACATCATGTAGCATAAAGCGCCGGATGGACACCTGGTTGCTGGCAGGGCCCCGATGGAGGGCCCCGATTTTTTGGTCAGCCATTTCGCAGGCAATTTTTGAGTGAACCAATTTGTGAACCGGGAAATCCAGCATTGGCAAATGCAAACATAGAAAAAAACTCTGCATGGCTTCCATGGCTATGTTAACTTAGCATTGGATGTGTTTGGCTCGTGCTTTCATGGAGCCATCATGGGCCGATTTCACGTGGAGGGAAGCAAACACGGAAACACAGATCATGGGCAGAAGGGTGAAGCATGTCAGCAGAAATAAGAGAAAGAAGGGCAAGAAGCACACATTGAACTTCGAAACATCGACATTACCATCTGGTTATTTAACAGTTTGCCATGGAAAATCACCATTTTTAGTAGGTAAACCATCTATTTCTATGGGCCATCTATACCATGGCTATGCTAAATAACGAGAGGGTAACATGAATTGTCAAGTACAGAGTTCGAACATGGCTAACCTTGATGTTTTCAAGTAATCTATCTTTACAACATATATGAACATCAATTGTTCTCTGACATCTCCCACCACCGTGATGTGTGTTACGTTTTGCCCCATGTAACATGTTAGATTTGACAGTTGGGCTACACATGGTTACACGGCACGGCAACAGTTTCAGGGCCTCATAGCTGTGCCCTTTAAGGCAGCTGACATGTGAGTGCAACATAGTGCAACATTCAAATTCTCACACATCAACAGGGGCACCGAGACTTAAAAAGAAGTCAATGTGTAGTGCACTATCTAAGATTGGCACTGAGACTTCAGATTGGTCAGGGTATCTAAAATATCTAGGATTGGCAAATGATACCCTCTGGTAACCTAACATAGCTATTGAAAATGGCCATTTATAGTTGATTTACCCATTGAAAATGGTGATTTCCATAGTTATGTTAGTTTACCAGAGGGTAAGTTTATAAGTTCTTAAGCCTGGCCAATCTTACCTTAGATACCCTGCATGGTCAATCCAAGGGATGATGCTGTAGTTGATCTATCCCATTCTGCTGGTTGTTTAGTATCTATTCCTATGGGTTAAATATGTGATTATATAGTTCATAATCCCTAAGCCAGTTAATTGAATACCCAAAAAAATAGAAATTTGAAACATCCTAACAGTATCCAATAGATGATAGTTTAGTTCTTCCATCTTTTTTCACGGGGGAATTACTATAGATATCTATAGGATTCTATAGGTTCATAATCCCCTGGTTAAGCCATCAAACTCGGCCCAGCAGTCCCAGCCCCAGCGCACCAAGTTCTCATAGAAGAAGCGTAGCGAAGCAGCGCCCCGCGCACCTCGCCCCTCGGGCAACTGGATGTTGCGGATCCTGGGCCGGGCCACGATTTTTTTCGGACGCAACTGGAAACTTGGAGAAAACGGACGGGATCTCCGTAAAAATGTTTTGGAACTTTGAAGTCACCTTTTGAATTGATGGGAGTTCACCAAGAATTTTGGCCAAACATGGAGTTTTTCACGATTTCCAACAAGATGTGCCATGTTGGCCTAAAATTGTGTGGTTTCACCTAAAATGTGGGCCATGTCGCCACCAAAGCAATAGAAAATTGCAGAACTTCATCCACAGGGATGAAAAATTTCTGGTTGGTGGTGCAATTTCACCATCTTGAAAAATATGAGTCAATGGGGTTGGGATTATCCCATATATTATGGAAAAAAACATGTTTGAAACCACCAATGGGGTTGAATGGGGTTGGGATGACATCCCTTTTTTATGACATGGAACATATATGAAAATATCCAAATGTTTGAAACCACCAACCAATCAACCAAATATTATTTGTGAAAAAATCACCTGCAACCATGGGATTCCGTGATTTTTATAGGATTGTTGATGGGAATTGGTGGAATGTCATGGGATGCCTCAAAACATGAACATGTTCGGACTTCACAAACCAAAAGTGGTGACATATCAACAAAACTTGGGATTTTACAACAGGGGTTTTATTGTCTTTGACACACATCTCTGGATTTTAGTAGCCTGCATCAGTGGTTTGCTACCAACTCATGTTACCTGCCAAAATGCTGTCAGTTTTATTTGTGTTTATGAATTAGTCTATAAACTGGTAACATGTCAACCATGTGTCAACATGTCAACCACTTGGCTTTGGAGAGTTGGGGGGCTTATTTTGAAGAGCAGTTGATCATCACCAGGAACAGAGCTGTGATTCATTGATTCATCCCTGGGTGATAGTATAGGCTACTCACTTAGTCCACTCAAATTTCAACCCATTTGTCAATGGATTGGTTTAAGGGAAAATCTACAGGAAACCATAGATTTTCCCATTCAATATGGGTTTCCTGTAAATTTTCCCTTAAACCAAATTTCAAACCATTTGATGATGGACGTATCGAAGCCCATGATGTAACCGACCAATGCAGATTGGTTTGTAAAACATTGTAAAACCACAATGTTTCTAATGAAATGGGAACAAACAAAAAAATCGTCAATTTCGTCCCATAGATGATGTAAAAATCATGTTGTAAAAATCATGTGGCCATCAAGCACTCAACTATTCACCAAATCCTTCGGTCGCAAGGTCGTATCCGTCCCGGGTATGTTGGTTGGTTGATGCAGACCCCATGAATTGAACTAGTTCGATATTTCTACCATAAACATCCATAAACCCTAGTGGTATTGGCTATTCACCCTTAAGTAACTGTAGTAACTAGTTGCAGCTAGGGTTAACACATGCAACACATCTTCAAAGGTTTCCACCCATTCACATGTCAGATTTACCGCTCAGGGATCATCAACTTGTTTCACGAATCCCCCAAAAAGATAGAAGTTGGTGACATCCAACATATTAAAGTCGTGGCAAATGATGTTCAATCTTTTGGGTGGTATACCATTTTTTTCAATCATCCAAACATGTTCCGGAAATCCCTACTGTTGGTTAAACACCCACGAAAATCATACACCAATCCCCTCGGTCATATGTCCATATATGTCCATGCATGTCCGGGTGCGAACGAACATGAGATGCCATCACTTCTGGATCTGCCAACTTCGCTTGGACGATGGCATCCACCACAGAAGCGTCCCCGTATTTCCCAAGCAACTCCGCCTGGGTGAGCCATTTCCTGCAACCGAAAGATCGTTGCCTCGACGTTGACTTCATTTTTATGTAAAACTGGCTCTGTGTCCAGGTTCCTTGGCACGCTGTCCATTGTTCCAGCAACAGCTGGAGCTTGTTGGTGTTGCGATATGCTGATGCGCCTGCTCTCCTGATCTCTATCGGTGTCTTTTTGCCTGAGTTTGGGTTTGCATGTGTGGGCGCTGTCTAGTCATACAACTCACCCCATACTTTTTTAAACATGTTTTAAAACCCATGATCAGGGAATGAATTCCTGGGGGGCATGTTGAAAATAATTGGTTTGTTCCCCCGATATTAAGTTAAGTCAGGTCATTGCAACACAAATTCCTCCCATCTATAAATACATTTAACCAACCAGACTACCAGCTTTGAAAAAAATCGCCACCAACTAAGCATATCCAATGATCCAAAAGGAAAACACAGCTCCAAGGTTTTGTCAGATAAACCTACAGTACTTCCATTTCAAATTTGCTTTGCAACATGTCAAAACCCTTTATTATTGATCAACGCTGATTATTAATTAATTGAGGGGTTGTCCCCCAAAATCCCAAATCAATATGTAGTGATAATTTAGATTGTTTTGTTTTTAATGTCTACTAAGATTGGCTGCCGGACTTTCAAGATTTGTAATTCATGCAAACCAAGATTGGCTGCAAGGGATGAGACCCTTCGAATGCTGGAAATTGGAAATTGGAAAAACTACTAAGATTGGTAACTAACATAGCTATTGAAAATGGCCATTTATAGTGAGTTTTCCCATTAAAAATTGTGATTTTCCATAGCTACGTTAAATTACCAGAGGGTACTACTAAGATTGGTAACCCCGATCCTAATAAACTGGTGTTGATTTATCCTGGACATGAAAAAAAACTCCAATCCTCCACCAGCAAAAAACCACCATAAAAATGTTGATCGAGTTCACCGCCATAATAATGATCCAAGCATCAACCATCATTGACATGATATACCCTCTGGTAAATTAGCATAGACCCTGAAAATCACCAATTTTTAAATGGAAACTAGTCTTCCAACCCCTATCTGCCAGGGTCTATGTTAATTTACTGGAGGGTACCTTCTGGTGATTTAACACTATAAATGGTGATTAACCACTATAAAGGGTGATGTTTCATGGTTTAACAATGGGTTAACAATGGTGAAGAATGGGATGATCATGGGATATACCGTCTGGTTATGACTGTTACATAGCTATTGAAAATGACCCAGTCGAAATAGTGGATTTACCCATTGAAAACGGGTGGATCTTTCCATAGTTATGTTATTTTACCAGAGGGTAAAGTCATTACTCCACTATCATTCATGTCGTTCATCGTATGCATCATCATGTCTATTCATGGTATAGTCAGATCATATTTCAACATAATCTTCACCTAACGTAGCTTGACCATTGATGCTGAGTTCAGCCATTCATCAGCCATGAAAACATGACCCAATCATCTGGGTAAATTATAATAATTCACCAACCTGAATCTTGCGGCCATAAAAGGGGATGATTTCCCTTATGAAAACCACGATTCCAGGGTTCGGGAGAACAGTGAGGTCGTTATGAAATTTACCCAGATATATATATATATATATATACTATCAATATATGTGTATATTATAATATATCCACCTAATATATATATATATATATATATGTATAATCCACCCGAGCATCCACCTCTCCCAGCCATTCTCCCAGCAAGTCACTCCAAGGAATCTTTGATGGTGTCCCCCTGCAGCAGTGCAGTGGAGATGGTGGCGGCGTAGGTGAAGGCGGCATCCTCAGGTCCATCCAATATGGATGACTGGAGAGTCTAGGTATGCCGATCTACTTTCAACTCATTATATACAGTATATATATAATGTGTATAAATATATATATGTACATAATTATGTGTATAAATATATATATATGTATATATAATTATATGTATATATACATATATACCCTGGGAGTCCAGGACCATTTTTAAAATGGTCTTTACACAAAGACCATTTTTGGGGAACAAAGTCCTCAGGCCCCTTCTGCAGGTCGTGATTCTGATAGGTTTAAACGATATGTTATAGGGTTCATATGCTTACACGGGTGCGCCTGGTGATTGGCTCCAAGAACCCAAGACATGGATGATCCACATGTCTCAATGGGAATCGGAATTCAGTTCAACCAATCCAAGCTGGTATCCCACAAAAGATGTATGTTTTATATAAAGACCCAAGAGTCTTGGGGGTCAACAATACTTATTAGCTTGGAGTAGGGCCTCCTCTCTAAGCCCTTTGCTGCCCCGTCTCCATGACCAATAGCAATGGTTTGACGCTGCCCCTTGATGCCCTCGTCTATGTCCAATGGTTGGACGGATGGCATGGTGGCGATGGTTTCGCAACGATGATTGAAGGATCTCATCATTATCAAGTTCCGGCATCTGGTCTGCATACTGGGTGTTGGCCAATGGTAGGATCAGCCAGTCAATAGACATTTATAAGATCTGGCACCCGAGGTAGAACTACGACTATGAAAATCAAAAAGGCGTTGAAACGCCGTCAGAAACCCAGAGTGAATCCTGAAAGAAATACCACCCCCCAACAAAAAAACAAATAATGGTGATATGTAATATCTGCGGGGCTACTTGATAGTTTCCTTAGTTATACGGTCTTGGAACAAGTGAATTGATATCACCAACGTTCATCAGTAATAATATGGATATGGGCCAAGGATTGGTGCATGATATGCGGATTATGGAGCCTGGATTGGCGATAGCCCCTTCAGCAGGTGCCACCAACCTTGCCCCCGCCTGCCACATTTTGCACCGCATTTGTTTAAGTCTGTTTGCATCTCTGGTGAGTTGAAGAACATTGAGCTGACCACATCAGTTGACGTTGACCTTATCTGGTTGGTGGTTTGGAACATGTTCGATGTTTCGAAATTTCCATACGTTGGGAATAATGATCCCAACTTACTAAAATTGTTCGGAGGGGCTGAAACCACCAACCAGTTCTCGTTTTGTATCTTTTTGTTTTCTGCTCACAGGTGCTAGCTTCCACAAAACAAAAAAAAGTCAACATATGTCAACTGATTTCGAATGGGTTCACAAAACAATGTCAACATATGTCAACTGATTTTTGGGATTTAGGCCATTCAAAGGATCCAGTTGATCCAGTGGCTTTGCGCTCATGGCTGGGTTGTCGTCAGACGACCGCTCAGCACTCCTGAAGGCACTTCAGCTGCAACTGCAGCTGTATGACAATGGCAGAATAGTAGAATGGAAATGGGATTGGTCCTCACCCAACATTTTTTACCTCACTATCTCACCAACCCTCGGCCTAGGCCTTTTTTATCGATGTGCTGAATGAAGATGGTTACATTCCAAAGCGACGGGAGTTGTTGAGGAAACGGGCTGGTCTGCGAGATCGGGACCCTGCAGTTTCCCAACTGCATCAGAAAACCAACATCAACTTATTAAGTATATTGCGTTAGTTAATTCATTTTCTGTGCCAGTTTGGACCATATCTTTCATTTTCTGTGGCAGTTTGGACGATATCTTTACCAATTCGGGCATCTGAGGTTCCAGCATTTTCCTTTGTGACACGGTTTTCGCAGGATGATGTTATCCGGGAGTATGAGGCCTACATTTGAAATCGTTTGAACATTAGACCTTTCCAGTGATCTCAAAATTTCAACACCTCATATGTATAATGTGTGTTTATCCAACATTGCCCGGGTTACTATATATTATGCATGCATCATGACGCAGGTGAACAATGATGAGAACAAGGGGTATCTCATCAACCTACTCGCATCGTTTTGCGAACATCTACCCTCGGATGCTGAATTGGAGGACGGGTGTCTATATAACTACGTTTACGTCAAGTCATCTTGTGGCTTAGCAACAGAATCGCAAAGACACCATGCATTTTTTTTATGCTAGCCAGCTAATATGATTTCGTCCCATTGCTAACCTAGCCATTCTGGGAGGCTGCGTTAACTTGGACTTCAATGACTTTCAACCTCAACCCCCAGCTGAAGAATGAAGCCGAGCATAAGGCAGCATTGGTGTTTGGGAGGGGTTAGGACAAAAAAAAACGTAAATAATCATCAATGAATTGGGTTTGGGAACGTTACAGATGTAAAGTTTGGGGTTTGGGATGAATACAGTGGAAAACTACATAACCCCATTCTCCCATCTTATCTCCACCTGTGTTGGCTTCCGGCCCTCCCATATCTTTGCCGGAGGCTTGGGCCTCCATGGAGTCCGGAGTTCAGCGTGCAATGGCGTCCTATTGCATGATGCGCTTTCAAAAGGCGGAGGGTACCAGGTCAAGACCTCAATATTAGATATCACTGGTGGGTTGATGAGTTTTCTGCTTATGCAATTTCAACACAACATGACACAACCGGTTGTCAATGGTCATCGGTAATTACTGTATAATGTTCACACTCAACCCAGGGGTGGCCACGAAGGGATGAAGCAAATCAAAGATGTCATCAAAGGAAGGCTCCAGGCCTTGCTATGTTGAATTGAAATGCTTGAACCTGAATTGGCAATGGCATTTTTTTCTGATCTGACATTTTTATACATTTTTGTTTTTTGTTCTGTTTGGTCGGAGGTCACTGGTATGTTGACCGAAGAAGGCAAGAAAAAAGCAACCAGAGGTAGAAGTGCATCTAGCCAGGACCACTTCTTCAAATGATTCCTTCAGCCCAAAGAATCAATGATATGAGATAAACAAACTATCCCAGGTCCCTAGCTACCTGCATGATGTTTGTTTTTTGTTTTTTGTTTAAAGTGGGTTGAACACCATCAAAATCCGTTTTCACCTTGCTAAGACGCGACTTAGACTTAGCTCAGTTTTGACAAACTTTTCCCAGCCACATACGCCCATGGCAGGACCTGACAAGGTTTCCAAAGAAAGAGGAGGAGGAAGCAGAGGAAGCAGAAGTAACAGAGGAGGAAGCACAGGAGGAAGCAGAGGAGGAAGCAGAGGAACCACATAACGAATATGAACCGGAAGAAACCATAGAAATCTTTGAAGGAGTCCCAAATCCAGATGAGCAGGAGACCCTGCCCCTGAGCTATGATGACTCCCAATGCTTGGGTTGTGAGGTGCCGGCAGTTCCACCACAAGGGCATGAAGAAACATGCAGCATCCCTGAGACAGAAGCTGAACATGAGGAAAGCGATGAACAGGAACAAGGGGATGAACTCGCTGAGATGGCCAGAGCAACCCAAAAAGCGAAGAGAGAAAAGAACGAAGATGAGAAGAAGAAGAGAAAGGCATCCCCCCAAAAGGAGAAAGATGAGGAGGATGAAGAGGATGTCAAGCCTGAGAAGAAGAAGAAGGCAGCCCGAAGAGCAAAGAAAGACAAGGATGAAGATGAGGAGAAAGATGAGGAGGATGAAGAGGATGTCAAGCCTGAGAAGAAGAAGAAGGCAGCCCGAAGAGCAAAGAAAGACAAGGATGAAGATGAGGAGAAAGATGAGGAGGATGAAGAGGATGTCAAGCCTGAGAAGATGAAGAAGGCAGCCCGAAGAGTGAAGAAAGACAAGGATGAAGATGAGGAGAAAGATGAGGAGGATGAAGAGGATGTCAAGCCTGAGAGGGTGAAGAAGGCAGCCCGAAGAGTGAAGAAAGACAAGGAAGAAGATGAGGAGAAAGGTGAGGAGGCTGAAGAAGATGCCACGCCTGAGAAGATGAAGAAAGCACCCCGAAGAGCGAAGAAAGACAAGGATGAAGATGAGGAGAAAGACAACAAGAAAGATGAGGAGGCTGGAGAGGATGCCAAGCCTGAGAAAAAAAAGAAAACCCGAAGAGCAAAGAAAGACGAGGATGAAGATGAGGAGAAAGATGGGGAGGATGAAGAGGATGTCAAGCCTGAGAAGAAGAAGAAGGCAGCCCGAAGAGCGAAGAAAGACAAGGATGAAGATGAGGAGAAAGATGCGGAGAATGAAGAGGATGCCAAGCCTGAGAAGATGAAGAAGGCAGCCCGAAGAGTGAAGAAAGACAAGGATGAAGATGAGGAGAAAGATGAGGAGGATGAAGAGGATGCCAAGCCTGAGAAGATGAAGAAGGCAGCCCAAGGAGCGAAGAAAGGCGAGGTTGAGAAGCCAAAGAAGTCTGAGAAGAAGAAAGCAGCTGGAAGAGCAAAGAAAGACGAGGATGAGGTTGAGGAGAACGATGAGGAGGCTGAAGAGTATGCCAAGGATGAGAAAAAAAAGACGGCAGCCGGAGGAACGAAGAAAGGCAATGTTGAGAAGCTTAAGAAGGCTGAGAAGAAGAGGGCAGCTCCTGAGAAGGAGCATGATAAGGATGAAGATGAGGAGAAATATGAGGATGCTGAGGAGGATGCCAGGGCTGAGAACAAGAAGAAGGCCACCCCGAAAGCCAAGAAACGTGAAGATGCGAAGCAGAAACCAGACCCCAAAGATAAGAAGCAGAATGCAGCCCCCCTGGAGAAGAAACAGGAGGATGAGGAAGAAGATGAGGAGAAACATGAGGAGAAAGATGAGGAGGCTGAAGAGGATGCCAAGGCTGAGAAAAAGAAGATGGCCCGAAGAGCGAAGAAAGCCAAGGATGAAGATGAGGAGAAAGATGAGGAGGATGGAGAGGATGCCAAGCCTGAGAAGATGAAGGCAGCCCGAAGAGCGAAGAAAGACAAGGATGAAGATGAGGAGAAAGATGAAGAGGATGAAGAGGATTCCAAGCCTGAGAATGTGAAAAAGGCAGCCCGAAGAGAGAGGAAAGAGGAAGATGAGAAGCCCAAGAAGGCTGAGAAGAAGGATGCAGCTCCCCAAAAAGAGACAGATGAGGATGAAGATGAGGAGGCTGAAGAGGATGCCGTAGCTGAGAAGATGAAGAAGGCAGCCCAAAGAGCGAGGAAAGGCGAGGATGAGAAAGCGAAGCAAGACGAGAAGAAGAAGAGGAAGGCAGTCCCCCAGAAGGAGAAAGATAAGGATGAAGATGAGGATGCAGAAGAGGATGCAGAAGAGGATGCCCACACACAGAGGATGAAGAAGGCAGCCCGAAGAGCGAAGAAAGACAAGGATGAAGATGAGGAGGAAGATGAGGAGGATGAAGAGGATGCCAAGCCTGAGAAGATGAAGAAGGCATCTCCCCCAGCGAAGAAAGGTGAGGAGAAAGAGGAGGAGGAGCGATTTCAGCATCTCACAACCATTCTCGACACAGATGATGAGAAGGAAACCGAAACACGGGGGACGTTTCAAGAATCCCGTGAGAAGGTTGTGCAGAAGGAAAAGTTTCTAGATGCTGCTGGAGACAAAAAAGCTGAGAAGCTGATGGAGGAACTGTACAAGACAAGAGGGTTGACAACATCGAATGATGACCTTGTTGCTGCTCAGCGAAAAATGATGTCTCTGAGGAAGAAAGGGCAGAAGGAAGATGACGATGAGGCAGAAGATGATGACAAAACCCTTGCTGAAGCAGAAGAAGAGTCAGAACAAAGAATGTCAAAAGGAAAAGGAAGAGGCAAAGGAAGAGGCAAAGGAAGAGGGAGAGGTAGAGCGAGAGGTGGTGATCGAAAACGTGAAGGAGGAGCAAAGGATGTAGAAGAGATGCCTGCTGAGACTGAGAAAGATGCCAGGAAGAGAAAAAGTGAAAGACAAGACGCAGCAGAGAGGCAAACAAAGAAGGCAAAGGATGAAGGAGCAACGACAAAGATGAAGGGATCCGCCAAGGAGGGTGACACCGCCAAGGAGCCCAAGGAAGAGGAGGAGAAGCCAAAGGCAGAGGTTGGGAAGAAGCGAGCCAAGCATGAAGAGGGGAATGGCAAAAGCCAGGAACCAGCAGAAAAGAAACCGAAAAGAACAAGTGAGCACAAGAAGAGCCCTTTCAAGTTGTGCCGAAAGGCATCCCAGCGTGCAATTTGCACAGGTTCAAAGAAGGACCCAAAGAAGAAGTTGTTTCAGGGGTCTGAAGATGCGAAGGAAGAAGACGATTCAAGCACAAAAGCGGAAGCATCGGAAGCAGATAGCCCAGAGCAGAAACAGAAGGACAAGGAACAAAAGGTGCAAGATACCTTGGAGACCTGGGTTGAATTAAATGGGGTACGGTACGGTTGTGTGATCTCCACAATTCTGGCCATTTATCAGTTATAAGTAATTATAACATCTTATAACCCCATTTATAGAATGTATAATCCCATTTATGTCCAGTTATAACTGGTAAATGGCCATAACTGCAATGATATCCAATTAAGCTATTCTCGGGTTCAGAGACACTGTACCTTCTTTGGAACGAATTTTCACGACGAAAAAAACAAATACCCTGATTGTAATATTTGTTTCCTCATTCATCATCATGACCTTATCTCAGGAATCTTCGCTACGCCTTATCGGAAAGCTTGCCAAGAAGGACCTTGCGTTTGTGGTTCCAACCTTTTTCCAGATCGCTCTGGATTCCCTGGAAGAAGATGGCTCTGAATTCCACCTTGAGCGGAAGTGATAAACCTAGATACATGTTGCACACACAATGCATTGGAAAACAAACTGATGGTATCTGGTGTTTCTTTGTGCGAGTTAATATGCTAGAAATATTATTACTGTATGTCATCAATCCCCTCGCATCACAAGGTCATTCACGCTTCAGCCTGCTAGCAGCTATGAAGACCAAGATAATGTGCTGCCTTTGGGAACAATTGGAGTGCAGTAGGGGCCCCAGCCATATCATATATGATATTTATAGATCTATCTATACGCCATCATCTAAAATTAGTCCAGTTTAGTATTGAAGCCTATGGTTTTTGGGACCCACCATTTTAAGAACTCCCAATATATACTATAAAATTCCTATAATGGGCAGTTTCTTCAACATGTTCCAGCTAACACCAGCCCATCAACCCTGGTCCTTTGTGCTTGAGGTTGCACACGACATCTTTCTTCGTGTCTCCTGTGTCCAAGCGTCGTGTGCACCGGGTCAACGAGAAGCACAACATGTCTATCAACGTGACTTGGTGCTATGGCCCCCTCACATCTCAAAGTGTGCTGAAATAGCATGGAATTATTGTAATTGATACGCTTCTGTCAGCATAATATCACTTTGAAGTTTGGGGTTCCAAGGCTGGAAAGACACGAGGAATCTCTGTGGGATGGAAAAAATTTGGAGGCATCGAAGTGGCGTCCTGACCTTAACTGCACTTTTGTTTGAACCAAGTTACGTGTCTACGGATTATAATAATTGGAAATCTGATTTTCTGAGAGTGTAATATACTGATCCCATCACCCTTATATTCAACACCCCACGAAACCATGGTTCTCAATGAAATTACAATTATTTGGGATCCAACTTATGTGGTGTTTAATATCAATGGGATGGGATTACTGGTTTTCAAGGGTTTGAATCCAAGTCCTGTATTTGGGCTATGGGTAAATGATTGGCTAAGGTGGGAAGTCAGCAAAGAACTTGCTGGTTGGAAAGGCATTCATCTGCCATCCGATTCGGAACCCCGAACTGCTTGAAAAAAACAGCTGTTGGGGATTTTCCAGCCAAGTGATTTTGGTAGTTGGGTAGCAGTGCTGGCAATCTTCTGAAATGAAGCTACAGAATGCCCAGTTTCCTTTGGAAGAAAAATGTTATCTCAATGTGCGATTAACTGGATACATCTGGATATCATAAAATCAATATATACAACTGTTGTTTGGAGGGCTTCACTGCCAGCAATGGACTTTTACGTGTGTGGGAACCGCAATTTCCCAGTTAGGGCGTGTGACTTCACATGCAGTCTGGGCTTGGGGCCAAAGCGGAAGAGACGCAGGGAGTAAAAGGTGATGTTGGTTTGATGTGATATCATCTCCAAAAGGGTTGGTTTATGATTTCTGTGCTGATTGCCAATTAACAACCACCTAAACAAACCCAAATTTAAATGATAATTACATTGATTTTTTACACGTCATGCAAAGTATCGGGGGATATCTTTAAGAAACAATGTGGTGGATGCCAGCAAAAAAGCACTGTTAGCAACAGGTGTTGAAATCACATGTCTGAGCACTGTGGAAGTGAAGATTTATGTTTTGTGGTAGCCCCTTCCTCTCCATCCAGCAACTTGTGTTGCAAGTGTTGTGTTTTGGGACCATGCATGGGTCCCGGGATCACCCAAAGTCCCAGCTGTCCTTGAGCCGCCATGCCACGAAGTGCTTCTTATCTCTTGGACTTCCTTTGGTGTTGCTCCTGGGATGAACTGGTGAATTATTGTGAATTGCGGAAGGGGGTCGTTTAGAAAATAATGGATGATCGCAATCAAAGAAACATACTTTTTGATTGACGCATTTCGAAAAGAATATGTTTACATTCCAGATTCCAGAAGAACAGCTTTCTGAGTCATTCAAGCATTCCATCTTCTGTAGCTGCCTGAGTTTGCACCTTATCGACTACTGCGCAGAGACAACCACTACGCCCGAGGAAAAGTACAGAGCCACCCACTTAGATTATATATTAGATGCTGGTCCCAAGTTGAAATACCAATGGATTTGAAGCATAGGCCCCTGGAAAGAAACCAGCCCTCTATGATCCAGGTGTTGGACAATGCGGATCTCTTTGGTGGCAAAGCTGCTATCCACAATGCATTTGGCCCTAAACTCAATCGCAGCGATTCAATCGCAATATCTATAGCATTTAGGCATCTACTCAGATCATGAGTTTAGTTGAATGGGGGTTATCTGATCTGAACAAATCATCATCCAAGTGCAGGTTAGGGAAAACCTACCCCCTTGCATCCTTAGCTCAACCATGAACAAACTGAGTCGATGCTGGATTCCAATCGTGCTGGCCTGAAAGTGGGTTGCGTACTATTGTTTCTTCAAATCCTACTTGCAGAGACCCAAAAACCCTCAACAGAAACAAATTTCCACCAAGGAAGTTATTTGATATGGCATCCCAGGGTGCTGCTGGGAACATCTTGACGGTGTTCCATGGACTATTATTATGTTCAGTCGTGATTTAATCAATGCGTAATTCAATGTGTAATGTTTTTGCACCATCTCACTCAAACTTCAATAGTTTGCAATTTGTTTTACTGACATTGTAAGGACTGGATTTATCCAGGCAACCCGATTGATGTTGCAACTGCGAGAAGGAGCTTTAGTAACCGCTGGACCACCGTGTTCAAGTTTCTGCTTCTTAAACTTGGGTACCAGCAAACGAAGTTGGAGCAAACCGTTTGGTGCTGCATTGCCGTATGTCAAGTCTGCGAATCAGAAACTTAGCTGGGTGCCAAAATAGTTGTGTCACTATGTATCAGTTGTGTATGATGATTACTATACATGGCCATGCTATGCTTGGTAATGATCAAAATGGGGAAGTGTTCCATGCCCATTGTTTCTCCTGTCGGCTGAGGATCACAGCTCGACTTTGCCTCCTCCTGGCTTTGGCCTCCATCAGGGGGGCGGTGTTTCTGGTAGAACAACCGAGTCAAACGCAAATGTTGGGATTCCCTTATGTACGGTGGATGTCTCGTGCGTTGGGGCGGTATGTGCAATGGCAACAGCACCGCTTGTGCCCTGTCTTATTATATTTGATGGAAAATTAAGCATCAAAGAGGAAAGTTCATATGAGGTTCGAGAGTTCGTTAGTTGGATAGTTCAGTCTGCTTGTCTCATTATGTTGTAGGTTGCTTGTGTATCGGGTCATGAACTATTCTCATGCGCAACCAGCTAAGTTTCATGGCGAGCTATGGACATGCTTACATGAAGGCCACTGTGGTCTTTGGGACGGCGTGTGGATCTTACATCCATTTACAACCCAGAGTTAGTTTTCCATAATGGTGGTAGCAGCTGATCCCTGCAACAATACATTTTATTTATTCCATATTCTCCCTCTGCGGCTGTTCTGAGTCCATGGGCCCGAAAGCTGAAGAAGAGGCTGACAAGAAAAGTCAGAAGGAGGACCCAGCGAAACTCAAAAAAACGGGGAATGACACGCAAATACAGGGATGCCAACGGACGTACACGAGTGTGCCTAGCCTAGTCAACACCAGCGCAATTGATGTCCAGTTTTGGCCTTGCTGCATATAATAAAATAGGAATTGTGATTCAAAACTCAGGTGTGGAACCAGTGCATTGAAACCATCTCAAGTCTATCCCGTTGGCTATGGAACCGCTATTCAACAGTACCATCGGGAATGGGAAGTATCTTGGCTGGGATTGTGTTGACCCCAATCCCCAATGATATGTTTCATGGTGCCTTGCAACAGTTGTAACTAAAACATATAATAATCGCACGTTGCACTAAAACATATTCAAACCCAGGTAAGTGCCAACAGATGCCTGGACTTCAAGCGTGCCATCAGCACCATGACTGATGGTGCCGGGCCTGAGAAGGCAACTGCGTCTCCTGCCCAGAGTGCCAATGTGTTTGTTCGGTTGAAAAGGAATCTTTGGTGTGGCAATTTATTGAAATTCGAAAGGTACAAAATGGGAAACACATAGGTGGGTGTGGTACTTGGCCTGTTTGCCAGGCTCCATACCGCTTCCGGCATGCAGCCCTGACTGATATCCGGGATTTCCTGGTGTCTGAAATGCGTGAGGGGCGTTTTCACCCTTTGTTTCGGGACGGCCTAGATTGAATGGCTGTACACCTGAAACAACTTCATACGTTGCCCTAGCAACGATGTAGTTAGTTAGCCAAACAAAATTCAACATGTCCAAGCTGGAAACGCTTAGGCTTGGGAACTTTGGGATGACAAACAGACAATTATGGAAAAAAACATAGCGTGAAAAAACCGTGAAACTAGCGTGAAATAACCGTGAAAGGCCATTTTTAACCGTGAAAGACCATTTTTAAGCGTGAAAGACTTTAGCCCAAAAATGCCCCCAAATCACTTGGAAATTTGGAATAATCGTGGAAAATTGTGGAACACGTTTGCTAAAGCCATTTTGGAGGATCTGGGAAGCATCTAGGTGGTCCCGGTTAGCACTACCATGGCGCCCCCTGCTGACCCAGTGAAGCTAGCGCTTGAACGAGCTGCCCAACGGGCTGCCCGGGTTGCAGTCCTTGATGCAGCTGGCCAAGAACCGGAGCCAAGTGATTTGCCAGGTGCCTGTGCCAGGTGCGACATGTGGATGGGTGGGGCTTTAAACAAAAATGGCAAGTGGGATGAGATATGTCCAGAAATAAACAATGCATCAAGGTAACCTTTGCCTATATTCCAGTTGAAACCGTAATCGAAATTGTTTTCCCAAGTCCTGGTTTTGCCACAACCTTTGATTCTGAATAGATGATAATAGATGGGTGTGATATGAGTGTGTATTCATGGCATGGTGTTTTGTTCCAAACTGATTAGGCGGTGTAAATCCTGATGAACCATCTAAATTTCAAATCAATCAGGGTTGCCACATGTGAGATGTATGTGAGATGTTACTGTGGCATCATCTTTTGTGATGGCTACCTGGGTTAAAATTATTTCCGTCAATGTCAGGAAAGACAAGAAAAAAGATCCAAAGGAGAACGCGCAAAAGAAAGCACCTGCAAAAGCCTGTCGTGGAGGCAATGGTGGATGACATTCTGAATACTTTTAGGTGATGATGAGCTTGTGGTGCAATGCAAAGAACTATATTTTATATGTGTATATATAATAATTGTACAATATATTATATTTATATAATTATATAATATGTATAATATAATATAAGTATGCATTATATATATTTTATATTATAATTAATGTTGGTACTTGCACAATTTATAGCGCCTATTTCGGCGTAATATCCCTATGTCCTGTAACAAGTCTGGTTTATCGGTTCCTACAACGGAGACCTGGGGCTGGGGCATGGCTGGGCCATGTTGCATGCATGTGCATGATAGTTTACAAAATATTTTATGACAACTTCATCAATGATATGTCCTTTTTAATCTGTTCTTGGAAGTGAATACGCTGCTCATATTATGTCTGGTTTGCAGGTGATGCTTCCCAAGATGATGCTGATGAAGTCTCAACTGTGGGAGCCGGTGATGAGGAGGCACGTGAGTCAGCAGCTGCAGCCCTTGCTATGAAAACACCTGAGCAGAACAAGAAAGCACAGCCAAGGCTTAGCATGTCGTCGCAGCCCAAGCTTGACAGAGCAGTGCAAAGCAAGCAAGTCTTAGCGGAAAACCAGGAGAAGGGGAATGAAAAGCTGAAGAGGAAAGCACCACTTGCCATAGAGAATGCACAGCCCAGTGTCAAACAACTGAAAGCAACAGCAGTCAAAGCCAAAGCCACCAAGCCAGAGCCAGCAGGGAGCACAGCAACTGCTGCAAAGAGTGAAAACCAACCATCACCTTCGCAAGTCAAACCTGAGTGTACTGCTTTGGCTGTGAGCGAGGGATTGCCTACAGCTGAGGACTCATGCCTTGCCCGTGCAACCACAACTGAGCTGAACAACGGTGACACCACTGAGGTGAACAATGGTCGCAAGAACAATGCCAAGCCAATGAAGCAAAAGGTGCTAGAGCAAGACCCACCGGAGCCATCAGACCCGGGAAGCAGTGATAGTGAAGATGAGGAACAAGTGAAGAAGATAAAGAAATCCAAAGAAGCACATGCCCGTTACATGAGATTCTCAAGGAGTCTGAAAAGTACTTTGGATTTGCTGGATATGCACTTTCCTCCAGTCTTTGTTTCTTCTGTCACTTTGATTGATAGAATCGGATAGAATTATGCTAGTTTTCCTGGTTAGTTCTCCTCGGGGTCTGCGGGGGTATATTTCACTTGCTTGCGAGCCTAGGCCCAAAGACGCCAGTTGAAATCCGACGGGCGGGTGCTGCTGCTCACCACAAGTCGCACCACTTGCAGGTGCTTCTTGAGCAGTGGCTGGCTTGCGCTGGTCAGTGGAGAGCCAGTGAATTCTACTACCAAGTTTGCCAAAAAAAGCGTAGTCGAAAACATGGCTGCCGAAAGTGGTTGACGCGAAGTGAAATTGGGTCGAAGTATGGGTCGCTGTCGACAGCTGACAGCATAATCTCCCAGAAGATGAATGATCCTGACATATGTCGGGAACAAGTGCGATGTCATCCAGACATGCACGGTGTTGACTCTGCTGAATCTTGACTGATACTGACTAGTAAATGGGTTGGTGATGGTTGGTGTGTGGGGTGTATGATGTCAATCCTATTCATGACTTAGACGATGACCTTTTTATATGAAAGGCTGCAACACACCATGTAACCATGTAGTGTTGAATCTACAGATCTATATTAGTTCATGAAATGAGAATTCGTGCATCCCAGGATATCACAGCCACTAACAGCCATCATATAGGGTTTGTTCGAATATCACCCCTGTTGATATCAGCCTGTTATCCTTTATTTGGGCCAAGGAGACCAGACAATACTTAGTTTGGGATCAAGATGGAGAAGAAGAAACCGAAGACCTTGTCACTTCTCAGCTTTTTGAAGCTGCTGACCGTGATGATGATGAGGGTGTTGCCAGAGGAAAGAAGAAGACCGCAGGAAAGAAGAACAAGAAGGGCAAAGTTTCAAAGAAAAAGGGAACAAAGAAGAAGAAAGCCAAGTGCAGCTCATCTGATTCTGATGAGTCAAGTGAGGAGTCAAGCAGTTCGTCGTCTTCGAAGAAGAGCACAGCTTCAAGCACTAGCGAGGCATGCTTGGGGAATCCATGGTTCGCCGAAGTTTGATCTTTGGATAAAGTCTGGCTATGGGTGGCACTTGCCATATGGTATCCTCTTTTCCACTTCGCCATTCATGGGGCCTTCTATCAAGAGACACTCCATCCATTCGCATGGCAGGAATCGAAGAAATCCAAGAAGAACAAGGGACGATCGGCGAAGAGTAAGAAGAACACGGGAAAAAAAAACAAGTCGCCGATTGAAACTGAGGAACAGAAGGCAAAGCGCATGCGAAAAGAGGAAGAAGCAGCGGAGAAGGCAGAAGAGAAGAAGCGTGAAGCTGATGCAAAAGCTGAAGAGAAAAAGAAGGAAGCTGAAAGAAAGGCTGCTGAAAAGAAGATCGTTGATGCGCACAAGAAAGAATGCAAGAAAGCTGAACAGGCCTGCTGTTTCCTAAAGGGATACCTAAAGGGTTGGCACCTGTAGCAAAGATCATGTTACCGGTATACGGTATCGTAACTTGTAAGTATGCGGCTATTTTATTTACCCTTCATAGCGCTATAGCCATGAGTATATAGTGGAGTGGAAGAACATCTAAACCAATGTCCTGTCTTAGGCATCTTTGATTCCAATTTCCCAACTGGAGGTCATCGACAAGATCACCCTGGCCATCCACAAGTCGACAAGCCTGCAGGGAGGAAGGCTTGCTTCGATGTCGTGGCCTCAGCGCCACAAGGGCGATTGATTGGTTTTCTGGCATCTAACACATGTAAAGAATCCTCAATTTTGAAACATCCATTCAAGGTTTTTTTTTTTTTGCGTTGATTTTAACACATTTCAACCTTCAGGAAGTAACACTTGGATACATTTAAAATGATGAAATTCAAATCACAACACACACACACAAAACAGCTTGTAGTTAGTTGGTTGTGTCATGCTTTGACTAGCATAGCATGCATATGCTGTCGATCGATACTTTTAGCTGTTAGCATAAGTATATACAGTACCCCAACTTGGTTCGAACATGTTGATTGCTTCAAGTTTTTTTTTTTAATAGTGTCTGAATTATTCTTTGTCTTGCGCAGGAGTACTTCGGTACAAGCTGCGATCTCAGAGGAGTTGAAACCCCAAGTGAAGAAGTTGAAAACAGCCCGATCGGATCTTCAGCAAGATAAGGAGGCCTCCAAGGCCTGGTTCCCTGCAGTTATGGACCTTTACCAGGTATAAAACTTATAACCCCATTTATAGAATATATAATCCCATTTATGACCAATTATAACTGATAAATGGCCATAACTGTGGGGGCAATTTTGCATAGCTGGTACTGGAATCAAAACCTGGTACTGGTTCAGTTTTTTGGGTTTGGATTGGCCAGAGGGGCAACCATTGAGATGTATATAATCAAACATGTGAAAAATTCCATAAATGGTGGTACCCAAAATGGATTATGTTTATGGAACAACTTAACAAAATGGATGATTTCGAAAGGGTCCCAAACAAGAAAAAAAGGTCGCCCCCTAAAAATCCCAAACCAAACAAACGGAAAATTAGTAATTTGGGGCACCCCCATTTCAGGAAACCTCTGTATTAAACAGATTGTAACATATCGGACATATCATAACAATTTTTGAATCTCTATCAAGTTGATGGTAGCCCAAAAATCTTGCCAACAATGCTCATTAAATCACTGCTGCCAATGGCTCCTGTTTCAGGCTGGTGAAGATCTTTCAGATCTTACTTCTGGCATTTCCAAAGCTGACGATGCGTTGAAGGACTTCAATGCCTTTTTGAAATCTTACAATCTGAAGTGATTGGGAAAGTTATGATACCAGTAGGTGTTTGGTTGGGGGATGGCAAACATGCCTTAGACCCTTGATCTGAGCCGTCGTACAGTTGCAGCTGCCGGCATGCTTCGGATTTCCTGTCCAAGGGGCATAACATCTCAGGTTCAACCTTGAAACCTGTACCTTGTTGATACACTGTTTACAACTTATTTGTCATTGTGTAAGGGAGAGATTAGGATATTGTTTGAGATTTAAATGGGTTTGGGCCCTCAGGCAGGGAAGTGGGGAGAAGGATGTGCAGCAAACATGCACCAAATCTTGCCAACTATTTGGCTCTTACCAATTGTCCGTCACATGTAGGTGATTTATGAAGTGAACTAACCTTGTGTGAATTGCACACAGGGCCACAATACAAAGTCTGGGGCGTGAGATCGAAAAGTGACTAGATTGGAGTTTGCAAGCTACCCTGATGGAATAGCAACACACATTGATTTGCATATTTGCATCATCTCCTGGAATTAGGCGACAACCAGTCCCCAGGTGTTTCTTCTTCCACCAGCCCCACCCACAGCCGCGCAGGTGATGGTGAACCAACTGCTTTGAATGGCCACTATGATGATGTTGCGTCTGGTGCTACTTGTCTCAACCTCCAATGTCGTCCAATGTCTATTATAATATACATTATTCTACATCAATCAGGGTTATACCTGCTGATGGTGATATTGTTTAATGGTTTGACAAAGATATTCCAAATCATTGAGAATCTTTCGACCCAACATGTCTGATATCAAACGCTGGATCAACCTTGAAGCTTCCCGCTGCTCGCCTCTCAGGCTTCTTCGACCCACAAAGTGATGCGAAGGATTCGGGAGCATGTCAAAGTGCCTTTGGCGGGTGGCGTACTGGCAAAATGGAACAGGAAGGAGCACCTACTATGGGTTACAAATGGAAGTGATCCAAAGTAAGTGGTTTTTCTTTGGAATGGAAGTAGACCCCGAGGGGAATTTCAAGTTTGGGGATTAATATATTCAAAGGTAAACCCCAAGAACCCACAAGGTAATCATGATAAGGGTTAGTTTGGGCATTCAAAATAATGCTTACCATTCTTGGAAGCAACCCCTCAAGAATCTACATGGTGATCATACCCAAGGTAACTATTAATTTTGGGCCATTCAACACTGGAAGTAAAGCCCTAAAGCATCTACACGGGGATCATAATCAAGGTATGCTTGGGCATTCAACATCATACACTTGTAAGGAACCCTTCAAGAATCTACAGTGATGATATGTTATAATAATCAAGGTTTGGTACTCAAAATCAGGTACTTGGAAAAATGCTCGAGAATCTACCAAAAAATGATACCCACCCATCACCAAGTTTTGGTCATTCAAACTGTATTGTTAAGGACTAGTTATTAAAACGATTCCCCTACAAGAAGGAACCTAACCTGACTTAAATTGACCAAACATATTTTGTTTCAATGCTTTGATTCGCCGGAATTAAACATGTTCTTTTCTACGGCAGGGCTATCACCTACCCCAATCAAGTTATATCCTTATTGTCTGTGGTTAATTGGACTAAGTCGGGAGTAGTTGTAAATCAATGGCCATTGTCGTTCCAGTGAATTCAAGGGGGTGCCTCCCTAGGAAAGTGGCTCGGCGCATAGAGATACATGCGCATTGGCCTCCAAATCGGGTAAAAACGACAGTCGGGACTTCTGGCGCTTTGCTGACATCCCAATTGTATCTGGGCTATCCCAAGCTGTTTCCGAGTTTCAACATTTTCAAATGGTAAAGACATATTCCAAACAATTGTGTCATTTGGGATGATATGAATAAAGGCAACTTTCAAAAGGATCTTTGACACACATATTGTGTATGCGCTTTGAAGGTAATATGAGTTAGATCATCAACTAACTATGTCACAGGGTTGCAATGATAATATTTGACAATGCCAATATTTTGGGAGACGCGGTATCTCATTAGCAACAATCCCTGAGATCATCTTAAGAGTTGGTCAAGTGTTTACATCCTTGCAAATTAGACACCCAAGCAAGGAAGTTGAGACGATTCGCGTGCCAGTGAAAGATAGCAAATCTCCACGTGGTCTGTCCATGGAGTCGTTTCCAATCTTGCATCCGCACCGGGTGCTGGCATATTTATTTGATGTTGTGGGCATCGATGTTCCAGATCATCTTGTCCAACAGTACTGGGATCATTCACGCCAGGTTGGCAGCCGTGGGCAGTCAACTCCCCTGCAAGTCGTCATCACGTGCCAATCGGTTTACATGGAGACGCAGCACGTCTCTGGACTGTCTATCAATTCGAGAAGCATGTGGCCATCTTCATGAACCTGGTGTTGTTTCGACCGACTTCCACTAGATACTCACGATTCCTTCTGTTCTCGATACCACACAATAAATTGTTTAAAAATCGCACACTGAATCGTGTGTGGGAGCGGCTGGCTTGGTCTCTGGAAGCATGCTACAAAGGCAAGAATCCGGATCTAGGTCCACGAGGCATTCCTTTGAAAGGAAAAAACCTGGAACGCGCCAACCTACCCATCACCAAAGGCAACCGGGTATTCTGCGTCACTGAATACCGTGGAGATTGGGAGTGGCACCGGGACACCTTTCGTCCCCGTGCCAGCTGGAATTCCTTGCAGGTGTGTTTCAGATGCCCCGCTACATTGCATGGAGATCATGGATACATCTTTCACAACCCAGGAAGCTGCCCCGAAGATGGTTGCAAATGGGTGCAGGAGGAGTACTCTCTGGAGGGATTCATTTCCAAAGCCTTGAAGGAGAAGAATTTGTGTGGCTTAGTTTCCCAATTTACCTTGAACAAATTTTATGACCGATGTGCTAAATGATATCCTGTGGTGGTAGCTGGCCCGAATCACTAAAGGACTTTTTCGGGTCATTGTTAGTTTCAATCATTACAAGAGGACACATATCCTTTGTAAACATCAGGACACTATCCTTTCATATACATAGATGTTTCCACAAATTGGGTGATCCCCAGAAGGGATGGTTTATAATGGAAAATCTTTCTAAAATTTATAACTTAGGGGTGCCACCATTTATGAAACCTTCACATTCATGTTAAGGTGAATAACCCTACAAAAACAACATAACCCCATGAACACCAGACTTCAAGATTCCTAAGTAACTACCACTTTTGCCATTCATGGTTCGTTTTGAACAAATCTATGGTTATAGGGTGGTTTCCCAAAATAAGGGTACCCCCCCAATCGTTCAAAATTAGACCATTTTAGTATTGAAACCCATGGTTTTGGGGTACCCCAATTGTGGGAAACCACCATGGTAAAAGAAAATAAGGGACCATATGGATAAAGCAATTAATTACCCCTATCTGCCTTCCAATGCCCTGCAAGGTCCTTTGATTACCGTCCCTGGGTTCCATCCGGGATGCATACGCTTTTGCAGTATGCACACATTAAATCTTGGTATACTATTCACTGCCAATGGTGGCTCCTTGAATCTTGCCCTATGTGCCGGGGTGTCATTCAAGTTGGTAAGTCTGGTGTATTTTGGTGTCCAAATTAATATGTTTGGTGACATTAGTTTTTAACCTCCAATACATGTCTCTTTTCTCCAATCTTGGAGACCGGGCCAAAATCGATCCAATGAGAGCAACCATAGCTTTGTCCATCCTGCTGGGCTGGTCGCCCTTTCAAGACCCATGTGCCCTCGGCTGAGGATGCTTCTGAATGACCTTTTGTATTTTGGGCCTGGGCCCTTGGAACAACAACTGGATACTGCCTACAAAAGTTTTCTTGCCTTCTGCCGGCAGCACAAAACAAAGCATTCTCAGCCTCCCTTTACGCTGAGATGTGATTCTTGGTGACAAACACTAGCCTTGTTTCATTTTTTCAAGGGAAATGGAACAAGCGAGATTCCAATCTCAAAACACAATCTGACCTATGAAGCGATATAACTGGCTTACAGTAGCTGGCTATTAATATTAGAACATGTTTTGTATGAATTTGATTGAAAACCCGACTGCTGGGTGCCACTTAGGTGGAAAGGAAAAAGACAGGTGAAATCGGATTGATTGCGAAGGCTTGGAACGGACGGTGTATCCTCAGTTGGCTCTCTCATTGCCTTCAAGATGCCCTGGTGTTACATGGCGAAACTGAACGTTTGGTGCTGACTGCTTCAGCGATGACCCTTTTATGAACTTATTGGCCTTGATTGCCAAGGTAAGTACGGATTTATTATATGTGCCATTATGTGCCCCAAAAAATTCACGACTACCGCTGTAGGAACTCGGACTGGACTTAGTGTTCCTATCCATGTTGTTGACATGCTGACCACCAGCTAATTTCTTAATCTGTGTTTGCACTGCTGGTTTGCCCACCATTGCCCCAAAAGAGTTTGGCTACAGATACTTGTCTTTGGTTGGGGATAGAGCCTCTTTCCCACGCCCGCGGTCCTCAAGGAGTGCTTTGGCCGAGTTCTTCAGTGTGATGGAGAGCAACCCACGATATCTGATTTACGGCTGCACTATCATGGGTTCTGCTGGATATGATTTCCCAGGACCTTGGTCCAACAAGAAATTAAAACTATCAAATCTTTGGGATTGTAAAATAATTATAATTAGATATGGATCATGTTCAGAAAATGCGGTTGACAATGGGCGTATCCACAAACACCATGGGGGGCAACTGGATATGTTATAGTTATACTGTATACCTTTGGCGACATGCCACTATCCTAAAAACATGTTGCATTCTTTCTTGAACCGAGCCTAGGACCCAAAATGTGGCCAAGAAGATGTTCAATCTTGGGATGAAATTTCTTCGCTTATACAAAGTATTGTGCTTCCTGCATGTGAGGCGGGGTCATGATGCAACATTATTCACGCAACATGTTCATTTGCGGTTATTCCTTGTTTTAGACTTTGGGTTTAGTAGCTGTTTATATTCTACTTGGGGTCGCTGCAATGATCCCTGTGCGCGACAGGGACAGTGAGCCCAGATGGCTGCTCAAGCCAAAAGCGCATGCATCTTGTCTCTAGCGGACTGCAAATTCATCCTTGGAAATGGGCACTGGCAATGTGAGTTATATATTATATTATATATCGATGTTCAACAGCACATGCAGGGATCCAACATACACAAGAATGCCTATATACTATATTCTATATATACCCTTAATCTCCAAAAGCCATTTAAAACATAGCGTTTCTGATAAAGACATACTATTTCGCGCTATACCCTTCTGGTCTTTCGTCATCAACCTGAATGTTGGCAGTGTGTATATTTTCTGGGGAGTGAGGTCTTGGCACACCTGTGCCATGATATTCTCCGCTACCGCATCTTGGCGTGGTGTGGCATCATGCAATGCACATTGCATTGCATTTGGAAAAGAAAAAGTCTGTAAATTTGCACATGTTTCCATGTGAACAAGGGCTTTTCTCGATCACTATGTAGTAGGATATTACTTTCTATATTTTTGCTGGTTGGTTATGACTCTCCCACTGCGAATCAACGAGGTGTCAACTGCAGAATGTTCCATACATTTTGCGATGAAGATTCAATGCGTTGGATGAAAGGTGGCTTGAAAGAGATTAACATCAACATGCCAATGATGTTTGCTAGTTCATCGCCTAGCTTGGATTGATATGGTTTGGCATTGCACGTCTTTTTCGAAGAAACTTAGGTATCTTGGCAAAAGCACATCCCAGGACAAGGTGTTTGTGGTTGATGAAGTGTGCCAAACTGAGGCAGGGATTTCCCCAAAAAATGTTGAATAATGCTTTTCACATATCATCATATATCACTTGCACCATAATATGATGTCACGAATAATATATTCTATTTATGGTCTTGGTTGCCAAAAGGCTACTATCAATGAAGCATCGAGTGCGCAAGCTGCTTGTCAGCATGTTCAGCCCTTGTTGGGAAAATCTTATGCAACAAAGATTATCGTTTGATATTCCAGCAAGATTTAGAAGCCAGCACCAAGGCTGAACAAGAGTGCGCGACGTTAGCAACAAACAGATGCAAAAATTGGCTGCTATGTGGGTTGGAGGGCGTGAATGGGCGTGATTCAAGTTGATGACGAAAGACCATAAGGGTATAGCGTGAAATAGTCTTTGTCGGAAACGCTATTTTTAAAATGGCTTTTGGAAATTTAGGTATATATACATATATACGTATATAATATCCATTTTTGATGGGGTTTTGGGTGGAAGAACATATCATTTCATCAAATGGCAAACGAATGGCCGTGGCATGGCAAGCTTCTGCAGCCTTTTTGTTGTTCTTCTTGAAATGCATTTTGAGACTTATTGGAGGATGCGGCATCTTCTGGTTCTAGATTCGGGGTTCAAGCAACTTTTCGAGTTTCTTTTGGCACTCACAAATCCGATAAATCGGGGATGCCTGGGGACTGATTTGACAGAAATATGGTTGGTACAGTATGAACAAATTTCATCGAAAGACCGTCAAACGTCCATCCAAACCTCTGCAAGTTTGGATGGCAAACCTCTGCCATGTTTTCCCCATCCAATAGCAACAACCATCTTCGGGCTCTATATCCCACTATCATTGACTTGGTGATTTCGCCCATATAAAAAAAAAAAAAAACAATATCCCATGTATGGTTAGTGTTCATCCCGTTCTCCATGGTTCATCCCATCATATTCTCCCATTATATTACCATTTGTTGTTAGTCATAGTTTTAATTGTTGAATTATACCACTATGTAAAATAAATGGTTGTTCTTGTTAGTTGTACCCTTCTAACCCCTAATTGTTTCATGTTTGTAGCCTATTGATTCTTGGTTTTTCTTAGTTATACACCATTTTTCTGAGTTATACACCGTGCTTATTAGTTGTACACCATTTTTCTGAGTTATACATTTTTTTTTACATTTCTTTCATGGTTCTTGGGTTTTTTTCTCACCTCCATCCTTTGCTTCGCACGACGACGTTGGGCCGTTTCCTCTGGGTCCCGAACCGTGAAGGATTGGTCCGACACCAGGCGCGCCAGCAAGGCGCGTTGCCTGGATAGTTTTTTAAGTATCATCTGGTATGATAAAGTATTGTTATCATTATTGATATTCATATATGGTATTTAACCTGGTATAATTGATATTGATAATTGATATTCAATATTGTATATCATCTAGTATGATAATAATAATGGAACAATACATGATGGTTCGGACCATATATCATCTGGAACAAATACCATATATCATCTGCTGTTATTATAATTGATATTCATCTGGTATGATAATAATATATGGTATACAAAATTGAAAATCAAATATACCAGGTTAAAGTATCATATGGCATAATCTGGTATAATCGGGTAAAATCATTATATGATATATGGTATATGTATGATACTGGTTGGTGGTTGACCTACCCCTCTGAAAAATATGAAAGTCAGTTGGTATTATGATTCCCAAATATTATGGAAAATAAAAAATGTTCCAAACCACCAACCAGATATGGTCATATGGTATGATATCTGGTATGATATATGGTATATGTATGATATGTGATATATATGTATATGTATATATATGTATGATATATGATATATGTTATGATATATGATATGTATGATATCGTGAGGTCGTGATGAAATTTACCCGGGTTATCATGGTCAATCTATCTACTTGGTGGTTGACCTACCCCTCTGAAAAATATGAAAGTCAGTTGGGATTATTATTCCCATAAATTATGGAAAAATAAAAAATGTCCCGAACCACCAAACAGTGGTTATAAAGTACCATATGGTTATAAAGTATGATATATGGTATATGTATGATATCAAATGATATCAAATGGTATAATATGGTATGATATATGGTATGATATATGGTATGATAT